CCCAGGTGCCTCAGTGGTTAAAGAATCCGCCTGCCAGGTAGGAGATGCAGGTTCAATTCTGGGGTCTGGAAGATTCCCTGGAGAAGGAAATGGCAAGCCACTCCAGGAATCTTGCCTGGAGAATCCCATGGACAGAGGAGCCTGGCAGGCTATAGTCCATGGGGTCACAAAGAGTCAGACACAACTTAGTGATTAAATTGAAGCATCCTTGTATTTCCCCCTTGTAGAAGGCTCTATTACCATTTTGAGAATCTTCACTCTGTGACACTTCCCATACCCCTACCTTCCTCATCTCTACCTCTGTATATATTATAGTGTAGAGAATATATATATATACATCCCTCCTTCCTCTTTGCAATTCTAGTCTTTAAGACTGTGACTGAAAAAGAATCTTAAGGGCTCAATACATATGTACGCTTGAAAGCTTTTTTGTACTGCTCATTTTAAAAATTTGGGAAAATGGAAAAATAGTTTGTATAGTACTCTTGTAGGTGTTGGTGCATTGCAAATCGACAGAAATGAAGAGGGATCAATGGATCTCGTTTTCAAGGCAGGATAGTAATTTAGACATCACAATGCTAAGGCACTGATTTCTAATTATAGTCCCCGTGGTTTGGGGTGGGGGTGTAGACATAGCCCCATTATGTCAGTGTTAATTGAAACCATGAGAATGCAACTCTCTTTGGCATAGAAGCTATTGATTTTCATGGTGCATGTAACCACTTGTGCATTTTTGAAAGACCACAACAGACTTCATCCTTCCAGGCAAAACTGCTGCTGCAAGCAGGTAAATAAGAAATGTATCATGAACCATGACAAGTAAAGACGGAATAAGTAATACAAAGATGTGGAGCACCGGGGTATTCTTGAACCATCTGTTCCTAATTAAAGGAACTTTTCTGCAGTTTGAATTGCAAAGCTCAACGGAGTAAGCTGAAATCTCTGGATGTCTGTGCCCAGAAAAACTGAAGCAAGGCAAGTATACTTTAAGAAGTGACTTCTCTTGCCGTCAGTTAAGCCTGCTGGTGCTAATGGCCTTTAAAAGGCTTAGTGACAATCAAATCATTGCTCAACACATAACCGCAACCCTTTTGTTGCACAAGTAAACTGGAAAAGCAGGGCATATGTTCATGAAGAGAAAGTGGGAACATCTCCGAGTTAAGTAAGCAATAACTAGCCCCAAGACCGCAATGGTCTTCATATTTGACTTTACAAACCTCTTGTTAGATGAAGTGGGTGAGGTGGGTCTCTTTAAAAAGGTAATTAATTCTACTGGATACTAAAAGAAGGAAATATTTACTTCTTGGGTTGTTCTAGTCCACCTGTAAAGTACAATTGGATAACAGTTGGCAGGGGTGGGAATCTATATGAAAAAACATTCCCTGAGTCCCTAAACTGTTAGAGCTTACTTATTAATCAAATGTAGTTTCTTCAACATCTTCAATTTTAAATGCACACTACACCTTAAATTAAAATCTCTGTTGAACTGGTAGTCATAGTCCAAAAACAAATGTAATGAATTTACAACCTTCTAAAAAGAAACATTACATAGATGATAGATTTTTACATAATTTGTGTTTTGGCAGTTTTAGAAACTGATTTCATACTTGAGTGTCTTATTATTACATAATTTAGATACAACTCAACCTAGTTGAAGAGTTTGATTTCAAGTCAGTCCTTAGGTTGAGAAGATGCTCAGTAATGAAGCAAAATTATTATTCTTTAAAGTTTCTAATTATAAGCATAACATTTAGAATAATCACATTTCTCTAAGCAAGACACACAGATGGCCAATAAGCACACGAAAAGATGCTCACCTTCAATAATTGTTGAGAGAAATGCAAATCAAAACTATAATAAGGTACCACCTCAGTCCAGTCAGATTGGCCATCATTAAAAAGTCTACAAATAATAAATGCTGGAGAGGATGTGGAGAAAAAGGAACCCCACTACATTGCTGGTGTGAGTGTAAATTGGTACAGCCACTATGAAGAACCATATGGAAAGTGAAAGTGAAAGTCGCTCAGTTGTGTCCGACTCTTTACAACCCCATGGACTATATACAGTCCATGGAATTCTCCAGGCCAGAATACTGGGGTGGGTAGCTGTTCCCTTCTCCAGGAGATCTTCCCAACCCAGGGATCGAACCCAGGTCTTCTGTACTGCAGGCGGATTCTTTCCCAACTGAGCTATCATGGAAACCCCATATGGAGGTTCCTTACAAAACCAAAAACAGTTACCACATGATCTTGCAATCTCATTCCTTGGCTTATTTATGGCAAAAACTCTAATTTGAAAAAATACAGGCACTCCAATGTTCATAGCAGCATCATTTACAATAGCCATGACATGGCAGCAACCTAAATGCCCATCAACAGACAAATTGATAAGGAACATGTGGTACCTGTTCAATGGAATACTATTCTGTTATAAAAAAGAATGAAACAATGCCATTTACAGCAACATGGATGGAGCTAGAGAGTGTCATGTTAAGTAAAGTATGTCAGACAGTAAGACAAATACCATATGGTAGTACCTATACATAGAATCTAAAAGATGAAGAAAATGAACCTATTTATAAAACAGAAACAGACTCATAGAAAACAAAATTATGCTTAGCAAAGGGAAAAGGGAATGGGGGAGGGAGAAATTAAGAGTTTGGGATTAACAGATACACACTACTATATATAACAGATAAACAACAAGATCTTACTGTATAGCACAAGGAACTATATTCAAATCCTGGGATAAATCATAATGGAAAAGAATATGAAAAATATGTGTATGTGTATATATATATGTAACTGAATCACTTGGTTGTAGATGAGAAACACTGGAAATAAACTATATTTTAATAAAAAATGTTTTAAGTCATAACAGTATTTTCCACTAAACAATTGGCAAATAATGTTTTGCTCAAAGTAAATTGAGCTCTACAGCTTGTATTCATTGCATCCTCACAAAATAATGCAAATATCTCTCAGGCAGACATGAGAATACAGAATAGGGATCAATTCTGAAAAATCTAGGGTCGTTATTTGAAAAGTAACTTTCTTAAACAACTTGTCAAAACTAAGGTACACAGAAATTTCGTTCTTGCTTAAAAAAAATTCTTATCAAAAGCAACATTGGAAATTGTGATTATTTCCTTTTGGGTCACATACTGTTTACTGCATAGGTAAGTAGGGGGTAATGGTCAGTCTTACTGATTGCCCACAGTTAATTCTGAAAACTATGTCAAGACAAATGCAACACAGGGAAGTTGCAAGTGTTCATTTCTCTCTCCTCTGGGAGGTGGCGTGACGAAGACTAGCCTTCTAGCCCTCAAGCTTCTAACCTGCTTCCTTGTTCCGACCACCACCTTCCTCCTCCAGTTAGGGATTCTGGAATCTCAGTTCTCTAAGGGGCCCCAACCTTGCCAAGTGAGGCCAACACCACAGCCAGCTTGTGTCAGCCTGGTCCTTCTTCACAGGAATAAACTCAAAGGGAAGGGGGAGGTTAATGTAAAGAAACCACTTTAAAACACTTGCAAAGGGTTTTCTAGTCCTTGCTTTTCTCTCTGGCATGCACACGCACATGCACACAGACATTCAAAATCACACAGCAGTGCGTTACTGGCTACTCAGCTTAGGATAAATGCAAGGAATCGCTGAAAGAGGGCAGATGTGTGAGGGGAACTATGATGTCAATAACTTTGATCTGGATTCACTATGCATTGTTTAGGGGCTCTGACATGAGCATCTCCAAAATTAATAATGGGTGCTGGGGTGGGCAGAATTTCAGGAACCAGGCTATTCCTTTAATTATAACCATCATCTCCCTACTTGCTCCCACCCAACTCTCCTATGCCCCAATATTTCCTTTTTTTTTTGCAATTTATGATGAAATATCAGGAGGGAAAGGAATGAACAAGGCGCTATAAAGAACTGTTTCCTGTCATTTTATGGCTGGGAAAGTGAACACACACAACTGTAAAAATGAATGCAACCAATCAATTAATACACCATGCAACGCTAAAACAAAACGTCTGATAAGCACTTAATTTTCACAATACATAATTCTTTATCTTCACTCTGTTAAATTAAGTTTTCTCTATAATCAGGGGGGGCCATGAATCCTGGTCTGCCCATGTTGTCTGGGTATGACCCTTTGAGGGTCTAATGGTAATAGCACTAAGATCAGCCCTACATAGATAACTTTGCTCTGGAATAGTCTGTCTTCATTGGCACTGAATCACAGAAAGGTAGAGGCGGAAAGGCCTTCAAAACGTTTGCAAATTTCACCGTGGGGAGGGGGTGGGTGAAGGAGGCATAGAATTTTTCCCTCCTTGAAATCTTGCTCAAAATCCCACTACAGGGATTTTCCTGGTGGTCCAGTGGTTAAGCCTCCATGCTTCCAATTGCAGGGGTCATGGTTTTGATCCCTGGTTGGGGAACGAAGACTCCACTTGGTGCAGCCAAAAAAAAAAACAAACTAAACAAAAACAAAACCCAACCAAACAAAAAACCCTACTACATAAAACTGAGAGCAAAGGTTTCCTAGGGCAGCCAGGAGGTAAAGGCACAGATGCAGAATCTTGTCCACTAAGTCTGCATCTCCCTTGTCTCCTGTCAAGAAGGCCACTGAGGTACCCCCTTAGCTGGCTCCAAAGAACACTGTGAAAAATACTGGTCTCATCTGATTCTTGTAATTTACAAATGAGGAAAACATGGTTCATTGCATCTGTTCTCTCCTGCATACTACAATTTCATTCTCTTTCCTGATAATTGTGCAAAGCCATCAAGTCAAGAGCAGGTAGTGCACATTTCTAAGAATGGCTACCAAGGAAACCATGAAAAGAATGATGACAATATATGAAGATGTTCATCACTGTATTGTTTATAGCGATACAACGCTCATGTATCAGGACAAAGTGTAGGTGAGAAGAGGGGAGAGAAAGCAAAGATGACTGTTTTTTAACATGAAACAAAACAATAACATAGAATGTAAACAGTACTTACCACTGAGACTTTGCTCACTACATCTCTTGCAACTGCTAAGCCCTGAGCAAAAGTGCGGGCTGCCACAAATGCACGAGTGACCTGGAGCTTCAGTTTCCGAGGGACATCTCCAAAGGGCTTAAGCTGCTCTGTGTACTTGCTCACGCACTCCAGATACTCGTCTGTGAAGTGGTACTGGGAGTTCACCAGGCGAAACATGCGCTCCAGGAGGCGGGCCCAGAAGTCATTGAGCATTTCTTCCAGGTTCACGTTCCCTGCCACGTAGTAGCGCTTCAACTCTTCGAAGAGATCTTTAAATAGCTCAGAATTCTGCATGTACAAGTGGCCGTATGTCTTCACAAACATGTCATTCAGGGACTTTTCCGCATTTTCAAGTAGTTCTTTGAAGAATTCTAGACACAAAACCAAAACAGAAAGGGTTCTCAATAACTAAATAATCGGAGTGCTTTTCAGATAAATCTGAAAACTGAAAAAAGAAGCTCTGATATTAAATTGGAAAACATGCTTGTATATAGGGTGGATTTCTTTGGGGGGAATTTGGCATCTCTGATAGTTTGCCAATGAAAGGAAACCTATGTCACAAAGACACTTACATAAAAAAAGAAACTTTAAACCAATAATTTCTCAGGACTCAATATAAAACTGTCTCCCTCCCTCCCTCCTTTTCTCAGTCAGTCACAAGGTAAATAAAGAACTGGACAAAAATGAACACGTAAAGTTTCCCTGAACTTTTTACTGTAAGATTCTAAACCGAAGTGAATAAGGCCTCCTCACTGTAACCTGACACCAGGATAGGTGCTTTCAAGATGTGCTGTTTACTCAGACATGATTTTAACTGCCTTTCTCCTTCTTACATCTACATGACATATAAGAAAACTGCCTGGGAAATGCTTGAGGCCAAGAAACATAATGAAACACCCCACATAAGCAAGAAAAGAAGTTCTCAGGTATTCCCTGTGACATCAGCATAAATTGGGGTAACCAAGGCGGCCTTGGGTTCCTAAAGGATTCATACAGTAACACCATGAGATTCTTTCCAGTCCAGAAAGACAGAAATGAAATGCATAGCAGATTCAGCCACAGATCTGGTATATTTATAAGGTAACACAGGAAAATAAATAGGGAAAAAAGAATACCTGTTCCCCCCCTTCCCAGATTTACTTTTTGGCCATCACATATTCCCACAGCCTAAATGTTAAAGACTTAATCTCTTAAATACAAATAGTAAATTAGTTTCTCCTGAATCCTTTCTTAGGAAGTTCACTGAAAAGAGGAGTTAACAGTCTTCTGCAACATTAATCATTCTGAAAGAATCTATGTCTGGTATAAAAATAAACACCTCATGGTATCACTTTTATAAGCAGGAAATGTAATAAATACCAAAGCAAAATATAAGGACTGCATCAAGATAGAAGCTGCCTCCAAGTGAACGCGGAGCAGAAAGAAAAATAAGACAGCTCCTTCAAAGCCAGAAGAACATTAGTGAGCTTATCAAAATGCAATAGCACTACAAAACCCTTCCCTACTGTTTGCCTTTTATTTCTTGGGTTTTCTTCAATGAGGGAAAGGGAGATCCCCATTATACTGTACAGCCTGGCATTTTTACCAAAATTCTCTCCCTGAAAGGACCTAAAGTACAGAAAGAGCTAGGGGAACCATATGAAAAGAGTTACAGCTATCAGGTACCTGGGGAAGGACTCTCGTTCTCGGCAAGATCCCAAATGGTTCTCAGCTGTGGTCCCATGGTATAGACATGCATTGACATCACTGGGTCACAAGTTCCTGGATCCCACTTTAAACCTACTGGATCAGAAACCCCGGGAGGAGGGGGCAGCCATCTGGGACTCTGCTACACCCTACAGTTTGAGAATCAAGACTCTCAATGAGGGGTGGGATGGGGAGGGAGAAGGGAGGGGGGGTTCAAGAAGTGGGGGACATATGGCTGATTCATGTTGAGGTTTGACAGAGAACAACAAAATTCTGTAGAGCAATTACCCTTCAATTAAAAAATAAATATTTTTTTTTAAAAAAGACTCTCAATGAAACTTGTCCCATTTTGCCTCTCACTAGCAGTCATCACCAGCTCAGGAACTGTGCTGAATGTGAAGCATTCAGGGTAAGGGTTAATGCTTTAATTAGAAGAAAATACATTTCCAATAAATTGGGTTTTCATTTTTTTTGTTGCATTCTTGGGGGTCATTTCTTGAAGGTGGTTGGGGGTGAATTTCCTTATGTGGAAGTATCTTGAAACTAAGAGTCAGGATGGAGGTAGCATTTTTCTAAGACTTCAAAGTTGGGGAAAGTTGGGGTGAGAAAAGACATTAAATGTCAGCTGGTCCACTTGCCATACCGTCCTTGAGTCACTAGCATCCTTGCCAAGTGGTGCTGGCTCTCACATACTGGAAAAATAAAGCCTGGTCACTGCTATCAATGTGGAAAACTTGTGTCAACCCAGTGGTACTAATATTTCAACCATCCAAAAGAGTGGATGGCAAAGACAAGCATAGGTCCTTCCCTATACTGGATTTTCACTATATTGCTCATAAAATTGGCACACATCATTTACTGTAGAAATGGGAAGTTGAGAATGATTTGACTTGTGCTCTCATGACTCATTAAATAATTCTGAATGCTCACATTTCTAATGAATTCTCTTTTTAAAGGTGGAGGCAGAATGGCATGGATAGCTTGGTTTTAACTGAATACTACTATGAAAGGCCAGAGTTTATTTTTTTAGGCTTAAAAGTGTTCGAGGTCAAAGAATCACTAAGACACCGAAAAGTTTATGGTAAAAATAAAACATTCTCAAGACTTACTCATTTGTGTCAAAAGCCTGTGGGTCAGTGTAGAGATATTTATATAGCTACACTGAGGTACAAGATCAATGATCCAACGGAGAATGGATCTGATTTTACCACAGCATGTTCCCTACCTAATACCACAATGGACTTTATTTCCCAGGACTCAAATTCTGTCTAGGAAGGTTTTGTGTGTGTGTGTGTGTGTGTGTGTGATGTTAGCTTATATTTTTCAGAGTTTAGTTTGGTGCTACATACATATTAGGCTCTAATTCATTGAACCATTCAGAAAATTGATTTCCTTTTCTTCACATTTTAAAAGATTCTTTAGTGTGGTCATAACTTGCAAATATAAAGGCTGAGTGGATTATATATAGAAATTCTATAACACTGATATAAGGAGTTAGAAATCTGATAATTTGATCTCTCCAAACTATGCAATTTGACAAGTATGTACCAAGTGGTTCCTATGTGCTCAAATCAAAGCACATGGTTTTGCCATGCATCTTAACATTCCTGCCCAAGCAGACTGTAATGCAAGTTTCTAGAAAGATGAATTTTCTCCATCCAATTCACCTTTACTATCCTGCTACTTTCTGCACATGGTTTTATGGAGGCACCAGAGATTTTTAAAGCATCTATAAAATCCTTAATCTTTCATTTCATATAGCAAGGTTTTTTTTTATTTTCATCTATTTCTCACCTACAAAGTCAACAGAACAAAAGTCAAGTGATCCAAGAGACTCAACCTCATCTCTCCTTAGACCTGTTCTTTTTAAAAAAAATATTTAGTTTTTATCTGGCCGTGTTTGGTCTTAGTTGTGCTTATGTCGGCTCTTTAGATGGAACATGTGGGATCAAGTTCCCTGACCAGGGATCAAATGCAGGATTGTTAGTGTGAAGTCTTAGCCACTGGACCACCAGGGGTCCTTCCTTAGACATGTTCTTGCTCAGCCGTTTTAGTCGTGTTTGACTCTTTGTCACCCCATGGAGGAGCCCCACCAGGATCCTCTGTCCAAGGGATTCTTTAGGCAAGAATACTGGAGTGGGTTGCAGTGTCCTTCAGGGAATCTTGTTGACCCAGGGATCGAACCTGCACCTCTTATGTCTCCTGCATTGGCAGGTGGGTTCTTTATCACGAACATCACCTGGGAAGCCCCAGACATGTTCTTATCAGCCTGGTAAATGGGACTATTCCACCTATGTTTTTTGTCTCAAAGAGATCTTTTAAGGATGGCAGATATAATTTAGATTCTAAAATCCATACCAATTAGGTACAATACCAATCAAAGCATAACAATTTGCTGTAAGGAAAAAAGCGAGGAGGAAAGCTTTTGCATCTGTTCCTCTTACCTAACTGGCAGCTCTCATATGTTCTTGTAGATTCCTTCACATCCCCATCACATCCCTCTCTTCCTACATTTCCTTCTACAGCGGGGTACCAAACACAAACTAGACATTCAGGACATAGTCCCCAGCCATTAATAGCAACTTCATTGTTGCAAAGCTCATCTCTACTTCCTACCCCATTATTCAAATCAGATATTAACTCCCGAAGAAAAACCGTGCGGGCCTGAGATACCTAGCAATCATTCTTTCATAAACATTATGCCTAAAGCCAATTATACGACAGCTGGTGGCTAAAACAGAACCAGTCAGGGGCAGTGTCAACCAGAGTTCCACCACAATCAGAAGCTGAATTAATTGGAAATCCGATCTCCCTTGTAGGAACTGCTTATGTTCATGAAAAATGCTGCTCAGGGAGTCAGTTTTAAGTGATGCTATTGGTGTCTGAAAGAAGAGTCAGGGAGGAGACAGTTTATAAGCATTTGAGAAATACGGTGTCTCTGATCAGGGTTTATTTCTCCTTCAATTTTCAGTTTGGGGGCTTAAGGGTTTATGTTCTAAGGATCAAACAGCTGCTACACCTAGGGCTCATGAATGACCACTTAACACAGGAATGGAAATAAACAGTGTAACATGCCAGGATCTAAAGCAACATCACACAGCGGGAAAGGCATGAGACCTCTCATTTATGAGCTGTGTGACCTTGATGGGACAGAAGATCTAAACCTCAGCGAGCCTGTTGCATCTTCCTCCATTAAATGGAACTATCACTGCTCCCTTCATTATGGATCATGCCTCGCACATAATAGCTGCTCAATAAATGGACACCATTCATGATATATGAAATGATATTGTCACCTTTAGAGTTTCTTTATATCTACAATCATTAAAAAAAAAAAAACTTTCAAGGCTGGTTTTTATCTTTCTTGGCAGAGTCAAATATTATCGATCTTGGGGGAACATAAATTAAGCCAAAGCTGCTGGAGAACAGTTAAGACCCAAGACCTTATAAAACTGGGAGCAATTTAGCCAGAGATAAAGATGCTTAATGGCTGTAGCTTCCAATGCTGTCAAATGTCCCAGACATCCACAAGAGTGGAGCAACTCCTGAGTGAAAAACACGGGATGGAGAGATCCAAGGAAGAGATTACACATGATATTACAACAGAATATCACATATAGCACATATATATATATATTGCGTTGGCCAAAAAGGTCATTCAGGTTTTCCTGCAAGACAGTATGGA